TAAAAAAAACATATAGAAAGTATCAATACATCGACTGTATCTGAACAAAGCTCATAATCATTACATCATAGAGCACTAAACCAACACTTGAGAAGGACTAAGGATGTGTTCTTGGTATACGGTGGGTCGGAAGACGAGCTCGCTGTAAGAGGTTACACCGATGCTAGTTTTCAGTCAGACCCGGATGACTACAGATCGCAGTCTGGCTATGTTTTCTGTTTGAACGGAGGCGTTGTTAGCTGGAAGAGTTCCAAGCAGGCGACCGTTGCAGATTCTACTACAGAAAACGGACGGTCCAGAAAAGCACTGGGACCGTCCGTTCCAGTGTGTAGAACGGACGGTCTGCCTAAAACGTGGACCGTCCGTTCCACCACGTAGAACGGACGGTCTGCGTGCTAATGTGGAACGTCCGTTCCAGTCTCCAGAACGGACGGACCACACGTCTGGACCGTAGGGTCTGGACCGTCCGTTCCGAACCTTTCGGTCCGTCCGGTCTGGACCCTTCCGCCTCGGTTTTCCGTCGTTTTCTCTCGTGTATTCGTCCTTCCCTGCGTGTGTGACCCTGTAGGCTCATTCGATATAGCAGTATACTCCGAAATCTCTATTCCGGATATACAAGTCATAGGCGGTCTCTAGCAAGACACTATGACTACCTATCTCGAATAGAGTTTGTTTGTGATCATACGAAAGCCAGTGATGATTCCGACTGATGATCCTTTTGTATCGCGATATCATATGTCGAACATAAGGCATGGACAAGCCACCTTATCTGATTCGACTGCTTTCTCGTTCACTGAGTTCGACTGTCTGAAATAGACGACGTTCGTCTATAGTGCGGCCACACATTTCTACAGTCTTGCTCACACGAGGGGCCCAGCGATATCTCTCTCTTTTACGAGAGGTACAAATCCCGTCTTGACTATCTACAATCCAGTACATGATTCGTTTCGTACCTGATACACGCCTTTATAGTCCTCCTATTACGCAGGACATTTGACGTAATCAAAGCACGCAACTCCTCATGTTGGATTCTGTAGATATCTCAGGTCTTAAGATCCAATCATGGAATCGTCGTATGAGATTCAAGTCATGACGCTAGTCCATGTGACAATCTCATGCGGGTCAGTCCAGTATTCCGTTCTGCAACGAATACCTATGATTGTGATCGTATCCAATACCTATGATCATCTATGTGATCATCAATCACACATCATACTAGTCTTATTATGTCGTTATTCCCATAATGACACAAGACTAGGGAGTTTAGTATCATTCATAATGATACATGGATTTCATAACAGATCTAGCATGCAGGAACATGTAATGAATCAAATACTCTCATAAAACCATAGAAAGTATCAATACATCGAATGTCTCTAAATAAAGCTCATGAACACTAAACCAACATCGGCAATTGGATCCATCATGTATGCCATGCTTTGTACTCTACCGGATGTATCCTACGCGTTGAGCATTACGAGTAGATACTTCTTTCGCTTGTGCGATCGCTCCATTGTTGTCACAATCCAGAGCAATGGGGCTATCAGCACTCGGAATGACACCCAAGTCACCAACAAACTTTCTGATCCAAACAGTTTCCTTTGCTGCGTCCGACGCTGCAATATACTCAGTTTCTGTAGTAGAATCTGCAACGGTCGCCTGCTTGGAACTCTTCCAGCAAACAGCGCCTCCGTTCAAACAGAAAACATAGCCAGACTGCGATCTGTAGTCATCCGGGTCTGACTGAAAACTAGCATCGGTGTAACCTCTTACAGCGAGCTCGTCTTCCGACCCACCGTATACCAAGAACACATCCTTAGTCCTTCTCAAGTACTTCAGGATGTTCTTGACGACGATCCAGTGCGACTCACCTGGATCTGACTGGTATCTACTCGTAATGCTCAACGCGTAGGATACATCCGGTCGAGTACAAAGCATGGCATACATGATGGATCCAACTCATAAAAAAAACATATAGAAAGTATCAATACATCGAATGTATCTGAACAAAGCTCATAATCAGTACATCATAGAGCACTAAACCAACAATCTCCCACTTGCTCTAATCATGAACTGCTAAACATCTAATGCCCATATCCCTAACATGACCCTCATGCTTCGACGAAGGGAGAGGCTTCGTCAATGGATCGGCAATGTTGTCAACATACTCAGACGATTTCACCTTATCAGGGAGATTATAGACAGAGGAGACGTGCACATTTGCAGAGTGTCGACAGATGATAACATTGTCGATCCGTTGACGAAGCCTCTCCCTTCGTCGAAGCATGAGGGTCATGTTAGGGATATGGGCATTAGATGTTTAGCAGTTCATGATTAGAGCAAGTGGGAGATTGTTGGTTTAGTGCTCTATGATGTACTGATTATGAGCTTTGTTCAGATACATTCGATGTATTGATACTTTCTATGTGTTTTATGAGAGTATTTTATTCATTACATGTTCTTGCATGCTAGATCTGTTATGAAATCCATGTATCATTATGAATGATACTAAACTCCCTAGTCTTGTGTCATTATGGGAATAACGACATAATAAGACTAGTATGATGTGTGATTGATGATCATAGCGATGATCATAGGTATTGGATACGATCACAATCATAGGTATTCGTTGCAGAACGGAATACTGGACTGACCCGCATGAGATTGTCACATGGACTAGCGTCATGACTTGAATCTCATACGACAATTCCATGATTGGATCCTAAGACCTGAGATATCTACAGAATCCAACATGAGGAGTTGCGTGCTTTGATTACGTCAAACGTCCTGCGTAATAGGAGGACTATAAAGGCGTGTATCAGGTACGAAACGAATCATGTACTGGATTGTAGATAGTCAAGACGGGATTTGTACCTCTCGTAAAAGAGAGAGATATCGCTGGGCCCCTCGTGTGAGCAAGACTGTAGAAATGTGTGGCCGCACTATAGACGAACGTCGTCTATTTCAGACAGTCGAACTCAGTGAACGAGAAAGCAGTCGAATTAGATAAGGTGGCTTGTCCATGCCTTATGTTCGACATATGATATCGCGATACAAAAGGATCATCAGTCGGAATCATCATTGGCTTTCGTATGATCACAAACAAACTGTATTCGAGATAGGTAGTCATAGTGTCTTGTTAGAGACCGCCTATGACTTGTATTATCGGAATGGAGATTCTGCGTTTTACTGCTATTCCGGATGAGTCTACAGGGTCACACACAATAGGGATGGACAAGTACGTGTGCTAAATTATCCCGATTAGGAATCCTAATTGGATTGAGATTCCTAATTGGAATAGGAATCCTAATGGGATTAGGAATCCTATTATGTATAGGAATCCTAATGAGATTAGAATTCTATTACATCTAGGAAACCTAATGAGATTAGAATTCTAATAGGTTTAGGAAACCTAGTTAGATTAGGATTTCTAGTAATCTATTCCTTGTCAAATTAGGATTTTGGAAAGTCTATATAAGGAGAATGTCTTCTAGGGTTTGAAAAGAAAAAAGAAGAAAAAGGAAAAAGAAGAAAAAAAAGAAGAAAAATAAAACCCTAAGCCTCCAAAAACCTTTCACACAAGAGAGATCGAGATCTCTAGTCCTAGCAGACAAGTTCCAAGGTGTTGGAATCCATCCCGACGTGTGGATACGTGTAGAGGGCGAGGTATTCTTCCCGCCTAGAGTGATCGGACGAATAGATCAATTGATACAGGCCCCGGATCGATTGAGGTAAGCGTTCTAACGTTTCTATGATTCAATAGTAGCATGGTTCTAGGGTTTCATTAAAATTTTTGTTTTATATCCGCTGCGCAAACCCTAGAATCGATCTCTTAGGAATTAGATTCGCTCATGAGATCCCAGGAAACCCAACACGATTTTCCACGGAAATGTTTCCAAACCATTTCCAAACCATGTACATTGATGTTGCACTTATCGGTCGTCAATTGCTAAACTGTTTTAAATGTGGTGTAGTGAAATGGCGCCACGACGTACTAGGCTTGCAATGAGGGCTAATGACACTCCCGATCAGGCCCCACCGCCTAACCCGGGAAACGGGGAATGGAGGGACGAGTTTTGCCAGTTTCAGGAGACCGTGTGGCACCACCTGGCTGCCCACGCCCCCCACCACCTCCGGCGAGGGATCCAGCATGGGCGAGGGAGGAGGACCTACACCAGCCGCCGATACCTTTGCGACGGCGGGATACCTCCCCATCGTCAAGGAGCTGCGGGCGATGCATACCCCTTGATTCGAGGGATCACCGAGGTCGGAAGCCGCTGAGGAGTGGCTCTCCTAGATCACGCAGGTCTTGTAATATCTGCAGTGCCCGCACCAGTATCGAGTTATCATTGCGAGTCATCATCTGTTGGGCCAGGCCCGATATTGGTGGGCGAAAGTTGTGCAGGAGGCACCAGGGGAGCATCGCTTCACATGGGAGGAGTTTCGATATGAGTTCGAGGCGAAGTACTATCGACGTCAGGACCAAGAGTACCGCATGACCGAATTCCTCATGTTGCAGTAGGGAGACATGACTGTCAGCGAGTACGAGGTGGAGTTCACCCGCCTACTGATGTACGGAGGGCATCTGGTACACACTGAGGCATCGAAGATCCAGAAGTTCATTGTTGAACTTCGACCTTACATGCGGAGGAAGTTCGAGATCCAGGAGTACCCGACGTTGAGTTGGTACATTTCACAGCTTGAGAAAGTGGAGCGAGGAGAGCGGGAGAAGGAGGGGAAGACTCGTGAGCGGAGCCCCTTCAGGAAGTGCTTCGGTACATGTTCAACTGGGAAGAACATCCGGACCAGTGACTCGCGCGATAAGGGTAAGGTGCCCGCTATTCGTGCGCAACCACCACTGACGGCGAGGGACCAGTGGTATGTTATCGTTGCAACCAGCCCAGACACATTCCATAACGTTGTCCGACGAGGGCTACAAGGCCACCGGCTTTGGCGGCGAGACCACCACGACTGCCAGGCCAGGCGGACAGACCACCCTGACCACCAGCGAGGACCTGGGCAGCCCCGAGAGTTTATGCTCTCGGCGCCGAGCAAGAGATCCAAGAGGAGGAAGGGGAGGCTCACCCTGATGGAGTCAAGGCTGTCGTGATCGCAGGTACTCTATATCTCCATGGAGTTGCCTGTTGATGTTGTTTGATATTGGGACCACCCATAGTTTTCTGAGTGCGGGAGTCACGGAGAGGCTTGAGACAAGAGAGATCGAACCGAGGAATGATTTCATTGTGCGCATAACAACCGGAGATACATTAGAAGTGCACGGGATCCTACGAAGCATACCTCTTGAGGTTTGCGGGCGCCTATTAGTCGCAGATCTCATTGGGCATGGATTGGTTGATGAATGATAACTCCTATTCTTCTCTATATTTTGATGAGAGTTTGTCTAGGTTTTATAGGATAATCACATGCATTCTTAGGCACTCTAGGCGTGTTAGGACACAAAACCCGGTTGTGCTTTAGTTTTGCAGAGTTACAGGTTTCGAAGATGATTGGACTCGAAAAGGAGCTATTTGGAACGTTAAAGGAGAAGTCCGGATGAGGTACTCATGTTGCGACATCAATAACTTTCTCTACAGATGTCCAAATCGTGCGATACTTGTACCATTAGAAAGAGCACTTCAAGAGCTTCGCGTAGACATCAGAATCGTGTAAATCCGATACCGAGTAGAAAGTTATGAGCGAATTCGTGAAGACCAGAAAACTGCCAGTGCAGGACCGGATCCAACTAAATCCGGTCCGTATCAAGAACGCAGAATTCGACCCCAGGAATCTGGATCCGGTCGGAATCCACCTGGAAACGGCCCGGATCCAGTCAAAAACCCTGTTTCGCGATTTTCAACATCCGAATGGGAATAGGACTCTTGGGAGCCGCCCTAGGGTTATAAAAAAGCCCTAGCCACGTCCTAGAACAAGGGAGAACCTTAGAGAACACTTAGATACAGACTTTTGGAGAGCTTTTGGTGAGAGAAGAATAGAAGTTCACGGGATTTCGGGAAGAAGAAGGAAGATTCGACCGTGGAGACTACACATCTGCATGAGACTTTCTTTCCTCTCTTTTATCTCTTTCTTTGTGAGCTTTTTATTGTTTTCCATGAACCGTGAGTAGATCCACGACTATGGGTTAGGGATTCGTATGTGTTTTGGGTATGTTTGAACCCTAACTTGGATTTCGGTTTTGATTTGATTCGGTTCTATTGATTTGCACTTTTATTGGATTGATGTTTGCTAACCCCTTGGTCAATTATCTTAGATTCTAAACTACATAGAGATATGAGTTGGTTTTGGATCAAAATCAATAGGATAGATCGTATTATTCACATAGAGATATGGCTTAATCGATCTAGGGTTGATGATAGCGTTCTTCATGCATCTAGGGTTAACTTGAATAGATCGAGAGATTGACGAGTTACTCTGTAGATAGTGAGTTAGTAGACCGAGAGGTGAATTCTCTATCTTTGTTGCTTGATAGACTCCCGAATACAAGTCATAATCGTTATTCTCGCATGCTTAGAATATACCCATACACGCGAATACGATCCCGACACCCGTAGTCATCCTTGCTTGATA